TTTGGGTACTTTGACCAAAATTGATGGGGAAAGTCTGAACAGTTTTAATGATTTCGGTAATCTATACAAAAGCTAAGGTGAAATTGAAGAAAATTGAATACCTTGTATATAGAAATTTCTATGTCACTCTCTCTAACGAGTAAGAAATGCAAATCAGGTTCTGTATGTGAAAGAAAAATTTGTGAAAGAGAAATTTATCTTAAGTTGAATCACCAAACAAAAGCTAATTTATTTACTATATCTAAGCTAACTATTTTACTAAAACTTCTTTTTCGCAATACCAACACTCACAAACAACTAAGTGAAACTGAAAAGCATGAAGAAAAGAAGCCTAGGCAAGTTAGGAGTGGAAACTCTACACTGTTTAGCAAAGGGAAGAAAGTACATAAAACAAGAGAAGAAAGAAAGAACTCAACATCTATTAATTGGTCACTTTTTGAATAGATCAGTGCAAGAGAAGTGTGTAAGGACTTGTTTGGTTGTGGAACCACTTCATCTAGAAGGCAAAAGCTTAAGTTGTTAGAGAGGGGATACTTTTAATATTTATCAACACGCCTCCTCACATGTGGCCTGACTCTTTTTGCCTTTTGAAGGGAGGGAGGGGGGGAGTGAAATTTGTTTGGATAAGGGTGATGGTGATGTTTGAAAATAACCTCTCTCCCTGTTACAAAACAATGATGAACTGATTAAAACCCACTGGGAAGCTTCAAGTCATTAGAAAGCTAACACTTGAACCATACAACTGTTTTCCACTTTGTCTAGTGAGAAATGTTAAAACAGTGGTAATTTTGATTTAAGAAAAGAGGGGTTTAAACAGGTAACAAAGCACTCACGTTAGCATGGTGTTCAAGCAAAACCTTAACAGCATCTTCTTGGCCGAGACCTGCAGCCCACATAAGTGGTGTTCCAGCATCACTTTGCAAATCAACGTCTACACCCTTCGACAGTAACAATTTAACCAATTCAATATGTCCTGGAAACAAAGACAATGAAAAATAAAATGTCATTCTATGTAAAGAAGGATAATAAATTGAAGAATGCATGTAGCTACACACATAACAGTATGCAGGACACCACTATAAATAACAATATAACAATTAGGCATGACATGCTGATTGATTTCTCTCATTGTTTTACCAATAGAGAATTAAAAGCTGAATCTCAACTACTGATATCTTTCACAATATGATTAGATCCCTGATTCAGATTATGTGGCAACAATGTTATTGACCAGCATGTGCGACACTTCGACTAATCCACTAGATTAAGCAAAAGATGTCAAGTAAACCTGCCAACCCGGGGTTAAGTAGATGGGTCACTCTACTATTTTTAGGTCATTCAATAATAATGTCAACTTAGATGAAAAGGAAATCTGCATATTCTATCAGACATTGTATCACCACTGTGAGATTCTCAGTACTTATAAATGGACACCCTGTTGGTTTCTTTAGTGTGGAGAGGGGACTGAGGCAGGGAGACCCTTTGTCACCTTTCCTTTTCCCTACTTGCTATGGAAGGGATGAACAATATGATCAAATCAACTAAAGCGAAGTGATGGCTCAGAGGTTTTGAGGTCAGCAGACTTGAAGTTTATAGTGTGAACTTACCCATCTACAATATGCTGGTGATAGCTTGATATTATGTGATGATGATGAAGGACTGAGAATGATCCTAGTGTTGTTTGAAGGGTTCTCGGTCTACAAATTAATTGGAGGAAAAGCCACCTCTATCCAATTAATGAAGTACACAACATGGAAGCGTTAAATGTTGTTATGGGAGGGGAGATTGGAGCACTGCCTACATCATATCTTGGGATGCCTTTGGGGGCCAAATCTCAGTCATATAAAATTTGGAACAATGTGGTTGAGAGATGTGAAATGAAGTTAGCAAGATGGAAATCACAATTTCTCTCTAGGGATAGCAGGTTGACCTTGATTAATTCTGTTATTGATTAACTACCAACCTATATGATGTCAGAATTCTCAGTTCCCAAAAGTGTAATCACTAGGTTGGATAAAATAAGAAGAAAATTTCTCTGGCAAGGAAACAGTGAGAGAAAAGGCTACAACTTGTTAAATGGGATGTTGTGATAGTGGGAAAGAAGCATGGAGGTCTGGAAATAAGGAACTTGATGAATCAGAGCAAAGCCCTTAAGATGAAATGGTTGTGGAAGTTCAATAATGAAGGACAGTCCTACTGGAAGAAAGTCATTAAGGCAAAATATACAGAGGAAGACAACTGAATGACCAAAGAGGTGACTACACCATATGGGGTCAGTGTATGGAGATCCATTAGATCTCTATGGTCTGAGTGTTAAGGCTAACACAAAGATCAAAGTGGGGAATGGAGAGAAAACAGAATTTTGGAAGGATGTTTGGCATGAGGCAGGTAGGCTAGAGGTCTTGTGTCCTGATCTATATTCTCTGGTATCTCACCAACAGAAGACCATAGTAGATCACTGGACTCCTCAAGAGTGAAACTTTATCTTTAAAAGACAATCAAACGATTAGGAGATTTAAAGGGTAGCAGATTTTTTCAACACCATTGGGCAATTTAATGGACTGGAAAGGGGTCAAGACATTTTGTGGCGAAAAGGCAATCGGAGGAGTAGTTTTAAGGTGTTGTGCATACAACTGGCTGAACCACACCAATCAGCTTCAAAGTCACTAGCCATGGAGAGGAATCTGGAAGTCAAAAATCCCACACAAAGTGACATGTTTTTTGTCTGGTTGTTAGCCAAAGAAGCTGTACTAACTGAAGACAACTCAAAGAGCAGGGGAATACCATTACGTTCTAGATGTTTCTTTTGTGGGGAAACTGATGAGACAGTTAACCATCTCTTTCTACACTGCTAAATCACTGCCAATTATGGAGATTATTCCTGAATCTTAAGGATATGTCATGGACCATGCCTGCCAAGATCACAGAAGCAATCCAGAGTTGGGAGGAACCAGGAAAGAAATCCAAGAACAAAGATAGATGGAGAATTGTCCCAGCTAGTATATGGTGGGCAATATGGAAGGAACTCCAGAGCTTTTGGTAGTATAGAGAATAGTATGCAAAAATTCAGAGAATTGTCCCAGCTAGTATATGGTGGGCAATATGGAAGAGAGCTTTTGATAGTATAGAGAATAGTATGCAAGAATTCAAACTAAATTGTCATATGCTACTATGTTTTTGGTATAATAAGTTATACTCAAATGATATTAACTCCATAATCGATGTACTAGACTCAATTTAGTAAAAGATAGGAGGATTTGAAGTACATGTTGTAAATATTGGCCAGTACAATTTAGTATTGTCTTTTGAGGAATATACAAAGTTACCAGTTTCAAAAATAAAATAAAATTGCATATTCTATAATATGACATTTCTCAACACAGTTTTATCTTTTCATAGTCCCAAGTCCAAAACAACTTATGCCGGTCGAAATCCCATCAATTATTATCAAACGATCAAAAATTTTAAAAATTTATTGACTTTTTTGTCTAACATTTTATCAGAAAATGTGGAACTCCCTAAATAGAAAAGTTCAATGTACAAGAGCTACAAGGTTACAGCAATTAAATGCATATGAACCCAGGACTCTTTCCCTGACACATATAGAAGCTTCAACCACTTCTACTAACGAAGAGGAAAAACCTACCATTTCCTGCAGCATTATGCAAAGCTGCCCCTGAGGTGCTGGGTGTTGCAGGATCTGCACCCTTTTCTATGAGGTACTGGACAGTAGCAGTGTGTCCTTCCCTAGCAGCACAAAGAACAGGAGTCTGACCTATGAAGAAATAATATATATTAAAAGCAATATCACTTTCAGCACATATCAATCAATCGACAAGAGCCTCAAATCTCAAACAAGTTGGAATCAGTAAATATAAATCCTCCATATATTCCGCTGTATTTGAGTTTACCATTCCTATATTGGCGAATAAATTGTCTTTCAAAGCAAGTTAAGGGTTTTCAACAACTTGAGGTCCCCTAAATTCATATGCTTGACCTACCAAGATTTAATGTAAATATACAACTAAGCATTGATCACAACAAACTAATCACCTATATGTATCATTTTCATCTATTGTTTTGTATTCTAGCCAAGTCCGTGTTGATTCTTAGAGATTTTAGATCTTTTGAGATAACTTCCCACTCTTGTTATTTTAGTCAAAAGATAACTTCCCACTCTTGTTATTTTAGTTTTACCCTGTCCCTTTTTAGCACCTTCAATTATCGTAATGTCACACCTACATAGGTGCACTTGGAGGCCTGCATAGGACACAGTCAAACCATTACCAAAGTCCTTCTCACATGATATAATTGAGGTGTACTACTTGCATAATGTGATTATTTCTAATTTTATATAATCTTGTATGACTACACATTGATTTAACATTGGCAGTTTTAAGATACTCATTTTGTTGACAAGTTGAGTGCATCAGAAGTTCAATATTCATTCCCATACAATATTGTTGGTCTCACAACTATCCTCTAGAACTTGCCTTCCAATTGTTACTAGTTCGGTATCTTCTTTTTTTTTGATATTTTTTTTTTTAAATGGTAACATATGTTACTAGTTAGGTATCTTTTTTTGTTTGTTTGTTTGTTTTTGAGAAGGTAACATTTGTTACTAGTAAGGTACCTTCATATCCATTTTAATTCAATGTACTACATTTTCGTCTATCATATCATTCTCTTGAAAGATTGAAAAACTAAACTTAAAATATTTGAATTGTTGGCACTTAGGCACCAGAACATTGTCAAATATTTGGATGAACAAGGAAACACTTCATTCAAATGTTGCAAATCCACCAAAATGTATTGATGCCAAGTAGATCCAAAAATGATGAATAACTTTTAAGCTTATAACCAAATAGTGCCTAAGAAAATACATAGTTAACAATGTCAATGCTGGGTAAATTTCTGGGGTAGTACTTGATGTGTTCTGGAATTGGAAATGTGCATAAGCACGTGCTACTTACAGCTTGCGGAGGCGTACGATATGTCTGTTGAGGTGGAATGGAACTTAGTTAGGGAGTTTAGTTTCTTACAGCTTAATTATTCTATAGCTTTCTCAATTTCATTACCCTAAAGTACCAAGTACCAAAACCTAAATTTTATGTCTAGAATATTCTACCACTATATTACAAAAATTTCAAACCCCTCAAGTTTCAATTACAAAAGCCCTAGAGCCAAATTAATTCTAAACGAGAACTCAATAGTAGAGAATACCTTCTTTATCTCTATCATTGACATCAATCTTCAACTCCTCCACCAAGTACTTGCACATCTTAAGTTGTCCTTCCGTAGCGGCAAAGCTCAATGCCCCTCGTTCTTTACCATCCTTCACAGACGCCACCGTAGCAGCCAACCCTTTCCCACGATCCAGTCCCTTTGCCAATTCTGTTTCACAATCATCAACTGAGACCCCATAATAAAGAAGGAAAATAGTGTTTTCAATTCTTGAAATTGAAAACTTACTCTTGAAAAGCTTAATATCCCCTGCACAAGCAGCCTCCATGAACTTCTTAACCTGTTGTTTAACTGTTCAAAAAAAATTCAAGATTCATGTTAAAATAACATAGTTGCAGTATTTGAAAAAGAAGTGGAAGAATCAAAACCTTTATCAAGATGAGCAGTAAGCAGCCTCGAAAATCTCTGGTTTTCGTCTTCCATAACTGACGACAGAGAGAAGAATTATACCCAAAAAATGGAAGAAGGGTTTTGCCAAAAGAGAGGGAAAAAACAGAGCAAGGGTTTTGCAAGCAGTTTGTGATCTTTTATATACCAAAAAATACATGCACTTAAAATTTGGCGGAAGTACATGGTGGGATTGTTATTAAATTACGTCTTTACCCTCGTCAACTATCAACCACATTTACACCTTATTTGAATGGATGTTGTTATATGTTGTATTATATTGTTAGTTTTAAATACAATGTTTGTTTTGATTATTACTTAAATTTTATTATATTATATTGTTTGAATCCATTATTAGGTAACAACGGAAAAACTTATTTTATGTAACGGTCGATTTGGTGTGATCGCTTCTTTACCTTAATATTTTCTTCTCATTTTGTCTTTATATATTATTTAATAATTATATTTCATTTTTTACCTTATATTTTCATAGTAATTCTATCTCGTACAATACATAACAATCATCCAAAATAAAGTGAGATAAAATCATTGAACTTACGCAACATTAAAATAATTTAATTGGACAAAACACGATATAAGCAAATGAATATAATATTCATATTTAAAAAATAATAATAATTTTTAAAATTAAAAAAGAATTTTGAATCTCTCTCTCTCCTTCTTCTTCAACCCCATCTCCACCCACCCCACTCACCCTGAAGGCAAACCTCCACTTCATTCATATTACACCAATACAATGTGAAACATCATTGATATGATGATCTCCCTCTTTCCTTGGATCAAAAACCCAAGATATATACTTGAGTATATCAATAATGGATAGTTTCCTCATCTTCTTCTTATTTCATCTGATTTTATAGATAATACTAGTGTATGTTTGCTTTTATATATTACTAGCTTTTTGCACATTCCTTGCATACGTATGTTTAAGGAAAAATTATGCGTATAAGCAAATATATACTAGTTAATTACTTAACATAGTTATAGTTTGTCTTAATTACCATTTGTGACATACTTTTGGCTATAATTATGCGGTTCAACTTTTTAGTTTTGTATAATTCACACATTTGTATAACTTTTGTACAATGTAATTTTTGTATAATATAATTTGTATAATTGTTTACACGTCAGATGTTTGTAATTGTATAAATTCGTTATTTCAAGTTTATACAAAAATAACTGAATTATACAAATATACCCGTGAATTATACAAAACTATGAATTACACAAACCCGCAAATTATACAAACGAAGCAGCCTAAATTATAGCTACAACCCGTAAATATGCAAACTATAGCTATGAAGCATAATTAAGCTTATTATAATGGCTATTTGCAAAAGTTTCCCGTTTAATAAAAGATGTGTCCTTATTTAAAGATCTCATTTTTTTATTTTTTTTATTAAAAAGTTATCACCCACTATAGCCAACCACAACAAAAAAAAAGAGGATTTTTAATCTTTTATTTAAATAAAAAACTAAAAAAGAGGAGAAAAACAAGTGTGGTTGCTTATTTTATTTTCTAAAAGTAAAAAACTTCAAAAATCACGCACATTTGATTTTTTACTTTGATGAAATATTTAGGTAGCTATTTTTGGATTTGATATTTATTATTCAAAAAATAAATTTATTTCAGAATCTAAATTAAGATCATCATTTTATGAATTGGACCAACCCAACAATTTTTTGGTTAAAAATTTCAGAAGTAGACAAAAAGATTTCGCGTTTGCATTGTTAAAAGTCTAAAAGCAAACAAAAAATTACGTATTATTTTTATTAAAAACTCTAAAAGCAAACAAATAACCACATTATTTGTGTTAAAAATATCAGGAGCAGAGAGAGACCCATTATTATTTGTGTTAAAAATTTCAGAAGCAGACAAAGAGATCCCACCCTATGTAATTAGTGTTAGAAATTTTGAAAGCACACAAAGAGAATCCACATTATTTATGTTAAAAGCTCTGAAAGCAAGTAAAGAACAATGTTATTTGTATTAAACACTTCGAAAGCAGAAAAAAAAATTCACATTACTTGAGCTAAAAACTCTGAAAGCAGGCAAAGAGACCACGTTATTTGTGTTAAATTTTTCAAAAGTAAACATAGAAAGAGTTACTTTTATTAGTCTTAAAAAGTTGTTATATAATTTGATTTTGTAATTCTTTGAGCTAGAATAATCTAGTGTGAGTATTAATATGACCACTTCTTTTTGTAACGATGCATAATATTAGATAAAGTAATAAATAGGTGTAGTTATTTAACCAAAAAATACATTGAATTACTTTTCGTAAACACTTAAAACCCCATCACCCCCCCCCCCTCCTAAAAATCCAAACTATCCACTTTTAGCATTTAGGGGATTTTGTTGTACTATCTTTAAAGTACAACGCACTCATCCTTGTAGTTTTAGAGGAATTAAATCATTTTTGCCTCAAAAAAAAAATAACCATACAATAATCCACATTGGTCATTATCTAAAACTTATACTTTATTTTTCATATATGTAAAATTATTTACTCAAAAGTACTTTATTTAATAATATTGATATTAGTTATAGAATGTGTATTGTATTATTATGCATATATGTGCAATGCATGTGCTGAAAACTAGCCATATATCAAATGCTTAAACATCAAAATATATATTTTATACAATTAATTTTACAAGTTATATATCTAAAATTATTTGCAAATCTAATAATTTCATTTTACAACAACTGAATGAGAAAAAATACAAACTTCTAGCTTGAAGCTAAAGGTCATCTTTTAAAAAAAATTGGATAGAACCCCTCGTTTTTGTGTTAAAAACTTCATAAGCAGAACAGAGACCCCTTAATATTTGTATTAAGAATTCAAAAGCAGATAAAAAGACTACACATTATGCGGATAAGAAATTCTAAAAGCAGACTAAGAGAAGATATGTTATTAGTGTTAAAAATGTCAAAAGCAAGCAAAAAATCATATCATTTGTGCTAAAAAATACGGAAGCAAACATAGAGATCCCACATTATTTGTGTTAAAAATTTCAGAAGTAGACAAAGAAAGAATTACTTTTGCTTGACTTAAAAAGTCATCATGTTAATAGATTCTGTAATTTCTTAAGCCAGAACAATCTCGTGCTAGTATTAATATGGTCACTTCTATTTGTAACGATGCATAATATTATATGAAGAAGTAAGTAGGAGTAGTTTTTTAATTTAAAAAATTGAGTTTTTTTTTTAAAACACTAGAACCCCTCCCTCACTCCCAAAACCCCAACCTATCCATTTTTGACCGTTCAAAAATTTTAGTGCACTTCTTAGTAAACTGAATCAAATTGGAAAAAGAATTTCATTTTACTAAGGGTGTAAGTGTAACACATTCATCCTTGTAGGTTTGGATAAAATTCAATCATTTTGACCTTAACAAAGAAGTAAACAATACGACAATATCCACACAGATCATTGTAATGCCATAATTTTATCATCTTTAGGAAAATCATTTTTTAAAATCAATTTGAGAAAAATACTTAGAAAGAGTCGCCACATATTTTTTTAGACAAATTAAGAAAACTTAATTTAAAAAGATTCTAACAGATTAAGTCTTTATAAATTTAGAGAAAATAGATAAGAGGTTCTCATTTACACTTCAAGAAGATTTTTAAAGTATTTGAAGTGTCCGCTAACATGCGGTTATCTTACGACTTAAATTAAATATTTGACTATTTTTTGGAAAAATAATTTAACATAAAAAATAATAATTTACAATATTTAATTAATTTTGAAAAAATAATTAAACAAAAAACAATTTTTAATTTTTAAGAAATGAGGATTTTAATTGAAATATTTGTATTAAATTGCAAGTGATTAAGATTTTAACAAAATTAAATAAATTAGAATTTATTTGATTCATTTTAAAATAACAATTTAAACCAATTTGGTTATTTAAAGTATGAAAACCATTTTAAAGATATTCAATAAAATTTGTTAAAATAAACTAACATAAAGAACATAGTTTATCTTTTGAGGAATTTTATTAAATTAAACCAAATTAACTAAACGGTTAGTTAGAAAACAAATGAAACAAAGAAAGAAGAGGTTAAGCCAAATTTGGGCATTTGGCCCAAATTCAAATTTCTAGAGCCCATTTAAATTAAATCTGCTGCTGAAATTTAGGAGGGCTTTGGCCCATTCTCCTCTGCCTTTATACAGTGTATACAACATTCTTATACTGCTGTATATCCTTGTATACTGGCGTCCAGAACCTGCAGATTAGTGTATACAAACGTATATATTCCATTTTTGAACTACTGTACACCTGTGTCTCTGCTTTCAACCTGTATTTCAACACTTAGTTCGTATATCAATGTATACTTCTGTATACAACATGTATACGACCCATTTTGGACGCTCGAAGGCTTGCAATTTCAAATTCCAGATCTGTGTCCTGCCTTCAATCTATTCAACATCTTTTCTACTTGCAATGGGGCTGAATCGAGAGGGAAAAAATGAATTTAGGCTTTTATGGCCCATTTCGAAATGCGAAGGGGAAAGGATTTGAGTCCACCTTGGACTCCGTACGAGTTCACATGTAGCAAAATGAGAACAAAAATTGGCATTCATATAAATCAATAGCCCAAAATTACATCAACAAATATTTGCCGATAAACAAGGCTAAACTAACGCCAACAAAAGGCTAAAATCATACTAAGAGTCATTTGAGCAATTCACTCAGGTTGCATAATAGTAGGAAACAAAAGATGGATTTTTCAACAAGTTCTAAAAGAAGTATAAAATAGAAGAAGACGCATATCAGACAACACTTAAACTATAGCAAATTGATCAATTGTACTTGTCATAACAAGAAAATGATGCCTGTGGCAGAAACTAAAAGAAGATAAATAAATAGATGGACAAAATGTTAGATCCCAAAACAAATAAAAAAAAAGCTATAAAACTAGTTATTCATTTTGTATGCCAAATTTGGACAATGAATTATGCTAAATTTACTTTAAGTGGAGGAAAAAACATTGTTAAATATCTATAACTAAACATGGCAGCATCTTTGTTCATACAAATCCATTAAACCTAAGTTCCAAAAGCATAAACAACTATAGCATTCGCATTTGTTGAGT